TATTTTTAATCACCTAGACTTCTTCTTGTTTTTTTGTTTTTTCTTTTTTCTTTTTGGTCTTTTTGAGACAGGGTCTCACTATGCAGTTCAGGCTGGCCTTGAGCTAACTTTGTAACCCAGGCTGGCCTCAAACTCGCAACCATCCTCCTGCCTCAGCCTCCTGAGTGCTGGGATTACAGACGTGCACCACCACACCTGGCCCTCCCCTAGACTTCTGTTTGGAACTCTCCAATTCTTTTCTATGCTGGGCATTTATGTTTTGTATCTTTCTTTAGCTCTGCTATATTTTTATTAGTGTATTCTGTAGACTCACTGATCATTTTAATTAGGATTATTATCACTTTAGTTATATCTTGAATTTGTCAAGTACCTTATTGATCTGTTTTGTTACCTCCAGTGATATCCTTTCTGATATTTCTGTGGTGTGGCTTTTGATTTCCTTCCCCTTGATGCACCTGGATTGGCTTTGGGGTAATTACAAGTTTTTGGAGGCATTTTGTTGCCTTGTCTTTCATGTTTCTGTTTTTTTGTTTGCTTATTTTCTGTACTGGAGTTTGCTGGTTGATTATAATAGATAATTTTGCTACAGAGATATCCTCTGTGTATGGCTAAGTATTGGCCTTTGTTTTTGTCCTAGGATCCAGCTACTTGTGTTTATTTGGGACTGGGAAGTTGCAGCTTATTTGGCCCGGTACCCAGTTCTTCAGCAATGTGCCACTGTATTATTTATGACCCCCAGGAAAACCAGATATTGGCATACAGAAAAAACCAACTGACAGCAACAACTATGTCATCATGGCTACAGTAGTAAAGTCAGCAACATCATTACATCAAATATAAATTGGATACTGACAAAGTCTAAGAACCCTAACTTTAATGAAAGCAAAGAGATTTACGACTTTAGTAGAAACATTTAGGCAACTCAGATATTGATCTACACTAGATCAGACCGCTGGTCGTCACTGGATATAGGTAGTGGTGTGTGAGCTCATGCAGACCAATGAACTCAGTGTGATCACCTTCAGCCCCCTGTGAAGGTTACACCCACTAGTCCTGGCCTTCCACCACAGACTGCATGCCCCGTGACCTTCCTGACCTGAGCTTGCACTTCTCAGGGGGATCTATGCTCTCACGCTTTCCACCTCTGTCTCCCATGGCTGTCTCTCATACGGTCTCTGTTGTGGGATAACACTTCAGTCCAGGAGTGATACTGTCTTCCTGGATGTTGGTCTTATCCTCAATCATGTTGCAGTTTGGCTGTCACCTCTGCTGCCTTGTCCCGAGGGGAACAAAGATGTAGAGCCAGCTAGGAGTTGGTAATTTGACCCCAGTTGTATGGCAGGTGGGTGGGCTCCTCCTCCTCCTTGAATGGCACGATGTAGTCTCTTTTCCTGTTTACTTTTCCCCTTCTCCAATCCCTCTGGCTAAGAGTTTTAATGCTTTATTGAATAAAAGTAGTTAAGAGTGGACATTTATGTCTTGTTCCACGTCTTTTAGCCTTTCCCTAGTAAGTATGATGTTAGTTATGGGTTTCTTATATATAGCTTTTATTATGTTGAGGTATGTTATTTCACTGCTTAATTTGTTCAGAATTTTTATCATGAAGGGATATTAAGTTTGTAATCAAATGCTTTTTCTTCATCTATTGAGATAATTCTATGATTTTGTCTGTTATTTTATTGATGTAATATATTAAATTATTTGAATTGTGCATGTTAAGTCATCTTTGTATCCCTGGGGTAAATCTTGCTTGATTGTAGTGAATGATATTTTTGATATGCTATTGGATTCAATTTGCTGGTATTTTACTGAGAATTTTTGTTCGGTAAAGAGAATGATCTATGGTTTTCTTGTTATTGGGCCCTCATTTAGTTTTAGTTTCAGGACAATGCTGGCCTTATAGAATGAGTTTGGGAGAATTCCCTCTTTTAAATTTTTTGAGTTAGTTTCAGAAGAATTGATATTTGTTTTTTAAAAAAATTCAGCAGTGGAGCTATCCAGTCTAGGGATTTTCTTTATTGGAAGACTTTTTATTACTGCTTCAATCTCACTACTCATTATTGGTCTCTTTAGGCTTTCTATGTCTCCGTGGTTCAATTTTGATAGGTTACATGTATCTAGAAATTTGTCTACTTTAAGTTTTCAATTTGTTGGCACATACTTACTTGTAACAGACTCTAGAGCTTTTTTATTTCTGTTGCATCAACTGATCAATCTCTTTATCGAACAAAAAAAATCATAGAATTATCTCAATAGGGCTGGGGATTTAGCTCAGCGGCAAAGCGCCTGCCTGGCAAGCACAAGGTTGTGAGTTCGGTTCCCGGTACCGGAGAAAAACCAAAAAAAAAAAAAAAAAAAAAAAGAATTATCTCAATAGATGCAGAAAAAGCATTTGATTACCAACTTAATATCCCTTCATGAGCAGTTTCTTTCCCCTTCACAATATCTATTCTATCTTTCAGATTGTATTCACTCTTCCAGGTTCTTACACTAGGAAGACAATACGATGTTTACACATGTGAGTCTGATTTATTTCACTTATGAGTATGGTCTCTAGTTGCATCTATTTACCTATAAAAGCCTCAAGTTTATCTTTCTTTATAACTGAGTAATATTCCATTATATAAAAGTACCACATCTTTTTAATGGTCTTTCTTTACTCCCTCCTCATTAAACTTTTGGATTTCTGTCATTTACTCATGTATGTCAGATCCAGGTTTATATTTTGTTCTTTAGGTACAATCTCATGACTGTATTATTTAACTAATTGTCTTAAATATACATTATTGTTTATGACAGTTATCTACAATTATTATTTTTTCAAAGACTTTATTTTATTGTAATAGTTTTGTCCACAATTTGGAGCTGTAACTCAGTGGTAGACCCTTTGCTTGGCTCCTTTAAGGTCTCAGCTTCAATCATAAGCACAGAGCAAGGATGTTTTGAGAAGCTCTGGTCTCAGCAGAAGATCTAGATGAGCTTTGTCTGTGGATATGCTGGACCCGCTGCTTGTGCCAGTTCAGAATAAGAACCGTGGAACTCCTGGCCCAGATCGTGAGCTTTAAACACAAAATGTCATGGGATAATATCAAATTACTGCAAAATGTCAATTACTGCAAAAACTGTGCCTGTATCATTCTCAGGAAGTATCGCTGAACAACGCTGAAAATCTATAGTTTTTGAGAAGTTGTTCTTGTTCCTTTTATCCGTGATAAGAACAGGAAGTCTAGTAGTTAACAGCAGGTGCAGCACCCAGCAGAGGATGATAGATGGGCCCTTGTATTTCAGGGCTTTCATTTTCAGGTGTGCCCAGATGGAGTTCCTAGGGCCTATGGCGATGGCCTGGAAGACACTCAAGAGGCAGGTGGAGTTGATGGACATACCCCTGCCCACCCTCCATCCAAGGATCTCAGTGGGGACCTCCAAAATGATACAGGAAAAGAGAAACTCCCAACCTGAATGATATCCGGGGCAAGTTTGTGTTCTCTAAAATCAAAGAATGAATTTTAGGAACAACAGAGGTTAAGAGCAGGATATATTTATTGAGGGAAAGAAAGCTTCTGTCCAAGAGAGGGACAGAAGAGGGGCCCGATTGGGTTGCCCCTAAAATTTTTCTTACTGTTGATTTCTAGTTTTATTCTGTTTTGATCATAGAGGATATATGATATGATTTCAAATTTGGTTGTAATTACTGAGCATTGTTTTGTGGCCTAATATAGTCAATTTTAGAAACTTTCATGTGCTAAGGAAAAGAATGCATGTTCTGCACCTATTGGATGAAATGTTCTATAGATGTATAGTATATTTTAACTCTGGTGTTTCTTCGTTAATCTTTGTCTAGATGATTTGTCTATTGATGAAAGTATAGTATTGAGGTCTGCCACCATTACTATATTTGAACCTATCTTTCCCTTTGAGTCTGATAGTGTCTGTATTATGAAAGTAGATGCTCCAACATTACAAGCATTAAAAGCACATTTATAGTTTTACTGTCTTATTAATTGACCCTTTGATTGTTTTTATAGTGCCCTTCTTGTGTCTATGTACAGTTTTTGTCTTTATTTCTAATTTGTCTGATCTCAGAATAGCTGTTCCTACTCAGTTTTGGTTGTCTGCATGAAATGTCTTTTTTAATCCTTGCACTTTCACTCTGTTTTAACTGTTGCCCCGACCTGTGGGTAAAGTCAACAAGGACCCTAGAGGGGCAGTGGGGGATGAGAGAGGGACAAGAGACACGAAGAATGGAGACAAGACAGGATTCTGATCAAGTCTCGTTTATTGGCGGGGAGTAAAGCAACCGGACAAAGGCGGGAGTAGCTAGGCAACAGTGGGCAGTCCCAGCCTTAAGGGAGGGGCACGTGACCTCGGGGAAATAGGCAGGGCATGAAGACACAGAAACTTACCTCAGAAAACAGAAACTTAACTAATACTTAAGACGGCTGCTAATATAAAATGGAGGTCAGTCACAGGTCTCCCACAGGTCCCCCTTTTCTTTATATAATTAAAGGCTGAGTATCCTTGAGGAGACTGTGCCTGTCTTGAGTCAGGAGACCTTCACATAAGGCCAACCTAACCTTACCCGTCATTGGAATGCAGAGCAGCATGAGGCTCAGTTCCTGTCTTAGGCGGTGGTCGGCGCTACATGTGAGCTCCAGTTGCCCGTCTCTGGCTATCCAGTCTAGCGCACCAAGGTGAGAAAATTATTTGCCCTTATAAAGCATCATCATAGCGCAATCTTGTGGGCTCTATGTAACTTTCGAGATATCAGCCATCTCGAGCCTGTGATAGTGGACCTGTATGGGTTGCATTTTCATAGCATCTACCTGTTGTTTAACAAAAGTCATCAATTTGTTAAAGAGAAAAGGTCCTAGTGAACGCAAAATCAGTAGCCCAAGCAGGGGGCCAAGCAGGGGGAGGAGGTAAGGCAAGATCCCATTCCAGACGCTCCAGAGGGGGCTATCAAATAACTCCTTTCTTCTTCTAATTAGGTCTTCTTGTAATTTTTTTTTTTAATTTTATCTCAGACGATGCCGGACTTGTTTGCATAGAAGCAGCAGCGTTCCTGAGCATGGAGCTTCAGGAGTACTTCCCTATTAGGCGGGGTCCAAAACCACCGTATGAAGTCATCAGTAGCATCATCATTAGTCCCAGTAGTATGATCTGGATCCTTGATCCCATTATCTGAAAGAGAAACAAAAAATTTCTCTCAGGGATCCTTTTCGTCCCTGGAGTTGTTTGTGATATCATCCTCTATTTTTTGGACTTGATCTATTTGCTTAACCAATCATTCTGGCAGCCATCCTGCAGATTTCATTTTTTTGGAATAGATGCATACTGATCCCCGACCCCAGATGAGTACCAGGTCTGGGCCATGCCATAAGATAGTCAAAGGGTCTCTCCACAGTACTGAGGTGTATTGTTTTTGTGTTTCACTATGCCAAAAGCGAGTGGCTGCTGACTGTCCTTAGGATAAATATAGTAAGATTAAAAATAAACTTACTTTACACAAGAATATAGACTGATATTAATAAATCAAGTTTTGTTATGTAAGTTAACATTTATCTACATGAAATATACTGTAGATAAATTATCTAAATTTTAGTAAATTCTAAATTTTAGATACCAATGAAGTGAAAGAGAGACTTTCTAGATTCTTTGTGTGAAGAACTGGGAGATAAACACCACAAATATATACCACAAAAATGTAATATATACATATTCTTTTATCCTTTTTTTTTTTCTGAATTTGAACAAATGTCTTATCGTAAGCAATCCTTGCTTTGAATTTGAAGGCCTGTACATCTGGAATCATGAATACATTTCAGTACACTATGAAATTAACAATAATAAATTACCATACACATATGAAAACCCATTTCTTTAGTTTTGTACTAAGAACATCTTTCATGAGAATACCTTATTTTTATTTTTTCTGGAACACTTTTAACCATGAACAAATTATTGGAGGTGTCTCCCAAGAGACTCTGGAGATCATTGGAGGCTCCTTATTAATGAATAAAGGTTGGCCACCCCTTTATTCACCAATTGGAGTTTAAGTCTGTAATCCAAATTGTATTATAGACAAATGATAGAAAAATGGTTGAGCTCAAAGTAAAGGGGAACAGCTGTTCACAAATTGACAAACACATAACAAGTACACAAAACACACAAACATCTTACAAAAATCAGAGTACACTCAAATCTATTCTAGGTCAAATTATAGTAACTTACAGTTTTTGAAATTTATAATTGTAAATATACTAGTCGGATTTTGTTCATCAATTAAAAATTCTTTCATGGTCACCTCATCGCTTCTACAGTCTAGTTTTATGTCATCTCCATATGCATTCAGTGAACAAAGTCTGTAAAAGGTTCATCTGGCCCTTGTTTAATGCTAATGAGAGGGGAACTCTCAGTAGGGAACCAAGGGCAGACTTGTTTAATGAAGTCAAAATACTGACACAATTGCTTAATTTTAACCTTTACCCCTTGTGCCTTTAAGGCTTTTTCTAAGCCCTCAATAAACATTTCATGCTGACTCATTTCTTGTCCCATAATTGCTGTTCACTTACCGAGGTGTAGAAAACACAACGCAGCAGGCTCCCGCGTTTTCTTATCCTCTTTTTATTTTTTTTCCTCCTTTTCTTTGTGCCGCAGACTTCATGAAACAGCGTCCCTCACTGAATCCCCTGTTCTCGAGCCCCACGTTGGGCGCCACTTATCCCGTCCCGCGGGTGAAGTCAACAAGGACCCTAGAGGGGGAGTGGGGATGAGAGAGGGACAAGAGACACGAAGAATGGAGACAAGACAGGATTCTGATCAAGTCTCGTTTATTGGCGGGAAGTACTGTGCATATATAGGGCACGGGAAATACGGAAGTGGGAGTAACCAAGCAACCGGACAAAGGCAGGAGTAGGTAGGCAACAGTGGGCAGTCCCAACCTTAAGGGAGGGGCACGTGACCTCGGGGAAATAGGCAGGGCATGAAGAAACAGAAACTTATCTCAGAAAACAGAAACTTAACTAATACTTGAGATGGCTGCTAATATAAAATGGAGGTCAGTCACAGGTCTCCCACAAACTGTTGAACTGAGTTTCTGGCAGAGAGTCTATTCTTGGGTCTTGTTTTTAAATTCATTTAGCTACTCCATGTCTTTTAATCGGCCTGTCAGTCTTCTTTGATCTAAAATAACTCCTATGTCTTTTGTGACCTTAATGTTTTCAAGACTGTGGGCCAGTTGTTTCAAAAAAATGTCTTTCACTTTGAATTTCTTCATACTTTATGGTGATTAGATGCAGATTATGTTTCATTGGCAAAAATGCCACTGAAATGATCTATTCTTCTTAGTAATTTGTATCAGGAGGCACAAATCAGTTTGTTCTCTCAGTGGTGATTTTAACTTGACCATTGATGAATCTTTCCTAAATTACTTATCCCTAAAGTGGTTATCAGATAGCAACATTCTAATTCCATCATTCCTTCCACATTTACTAGTTGGTACTCTATTCTAAGAAAGAACTTCCCCTTACTCCCATTTGATTATTTATTTATTCATTTTCTTATATCTTTATCTTGTTCACTGAATCCTAATCCATTCATATCATTACTTATTTTGAGGCACGTGTCATTTCAGAATCTGCTAATGTAGCCTCCTCTTATGTTCTTTTCACATGTTCCCATCCTTCTTTGAGGACTACACGATTTCCTGGCACAAAAAGATGTCCCAAATTCATCACAAAGACAAGGAGGGGAGAAATGGAAGTAAATGTTGCAAGATTCATATATTATATATGAACTAGTGTAAGAGCACTTAAAGGTAGACTGTGATAAGTAAAAGACTCGTACTATACACTAGTGGTTCCAAATCAGAGGTAATTTTTCTTGCAGAGAAAAACTTAGCAATATATGGAGACATTTCTGACTGTGGTAACTGAGGGGCTGCTATTAGCATCTACTGGGTGGAGGTCAGGGATGCTGATAAAAATCCTACAATGCAAAGAACATACACATACAAAACACACACACACACACACACACACACACCAGAGTTACCTGACCCAAAATAGTGCCAATGTTGAGAGACCCTGCAATAAACTCTAAAAACTAATCTCAGTGAAAGCCCTAGTAGTTTTTTTTAACAAACCAAAAAAACAATCTGGCAATTTCTTTTTCTTGCTTTCTTGGTCTTCCCTTTTAAGTGTGTACTTTTTTATACAACTGCCACCCTTGGGCATCAGATTGAAATTCTTTGGAATTTCTGACTCAGGTTTGTATCAGCAGCCCTCCATGGGGCCGCTTGTGCCTTGGGATCTGGACTAAGTGCTGCAGCATTGGTCTTTTTCTGGTTCTATGGCTTCCACTTCCATGGACTGAGGTACTACTGACTTCCTTAGCTCACCATCATGCATATAACCATTGTAGAATTTTTCAACCTCTGTGATCCTATGGACCAAACTAATAAATCCCCTCTCACATTAATATGTAGTCTCTTGGTTCTTTTTTTTCTAAAGAACCCTAATACAATAGCTAGAGGAAATAAAATTATTAGATCAAAGAGATACCTGACTCCCATGCTTATCTCAGCATTCTTCACAATAGCCAAGATATAGAAGTGATCATCGTGCCCATCAGCTGATGGCTGGATAACAATAATGTGGTACATATATACAATGGAAAACTGTTTAGGCATAAAGAATGAAATTCTGCCATTTGAGGCAACATGGATAGTACCAGACATTTTCGTAACTGAAATAAGCCAAGCAAAGGAAGACAAATGCTACATGTTCTCACTCATTTATAAAAGCTAAAAAATTGATCTCATAGAATAAAAGAGTAGAATAGTGGTCACCGGAGCCTAAACAGAATAGGAAGTATGACCAGAGGTTAGGTAATGGATATCAAAATATATTACATATGGGAGGAATTACTTCTGGTGTTCTATAGCATAGCAGGGTAACTGTTTTCTACAATTTATTATCTATGTCAAGATAACTAGAAGTATCCGAAGGATCCCAACACAGAAATACAGTTAAACCTTAGATTGTGAGTAACTTGGTCTGCAAGTGTTCTGCAAGGTGAGTACACATTTCTAAGAAATTTTAACTTGATAAATGAGCAGTGTCTTGCAATATGATCAGTACATCATGCCAAATGTCACATGATCACAACTGGTTCTTTTCTTTCCCACTGCTTTGATAAACAATTGCTCTGGATTATGAGCAGAATGAAGTATTCTCACAAACAAGGCTTTTACTGTAATAAATATATAAGCTGGAAATTCTAGTTACCCTGATTGATCATTACATATTACATACATGTATTGAATTGTTATAAAATATGCACAAATATTAAGTGTCAAAAAAGAAATGTTGAAATTAAATAAAAAATATAAAGGGAAAACACCACTGGGATTTTGATAAAGATTGCGTTAGTTTTCCTTAAGTAATTCTTTCACTTCCTTGGTTAATTCTTAAGTATTTCGTGTTTTTGATGTGATTGTGCATGGAATTATCTTCCTAATTTCCTTCATGGATTGTTCATTTTTTACTGTACAGAAATACAACTGATTATTAACATGTGTAATAGGCATGTACCAACTCATGTTGAATGTAATCATTATGTACTGTAAACATGTACTAAAAAAAAGATATACAACTCATTAAGTAAACAAGACACACAAGCTTAAATATTGCATAATTTCTCTTCTATGTGAAATCTAAAATAAGTAAAGAACAAAATAAAATATAGATGACAGGAAATAGGTAGATAGATTTTTTTATTCAAAAAGCAAAGAGGACCAAGCAATGAAGGGAAAGGGGAGGGGTAGAGGAAGTAAGGAGAACTAAGATGTGTTATGTACATGTACCAATTCCCCACAAAGAATGTAATTAAAAAAAAATAGTAAAAATCAGGGGCGGGGATATAGCTCAGCGGCACAGCACCTGCTTAGCAAGTGCAAGGTCCCTACTGATACCAAAAAAAAAAAAAAGTTACAATGTAATCATTTTGTACTGCAAACATGTAATAATTTTAGGAAATAAAAATTGAAAAAATAGATACAACTGATTTGGGGTGTTATATCCTGCAACTTTGCTGACTTTGTTTATTCTAATAGTTGGTTTTGTGTAATCTTTAGAGCTTTCTGTTTATGAACAAGTAATTTTACATCTATGTTTTTCCAAATTAAATGACTTTTAATTTATTTTCTTGCCTAATTGCTCTATTTAGGACTTCTAATACTGTGTTAAATAGAAGTGGCAAGAGCAGGCCTCCTTAGTTCCTGATCTTTGAGAAAAATCTTACATCATTGAGCATGATGTTAGCTGTGGGCTTTTCACATATTACCTTTGTTAATGTTGAACAAGTTTCCTTCTATTCCTATTTTGCTGAATATTTTTGATCAAGAAAGAATGTTGAATTTTTACCCAGTGCTTTTTCTATGTCAATTGAGATGATCATGGTTTTTTTGTCCTGCAGCTTATTAATATGGTATATTTATTGATTTTTCATATGTTGACCATTCTTTGCATTTCAGGAATAAATCCTAGTTGGTCATGGTGTATACTCCTTTTAATGTGCTGTGAATTTGGTTTGCTAGTGTCATGTTGAGAGTTTTTTGAATCAGTATGCATCAGGCTATTGATCTGTAGCTTTCTTTTGTAGTATCTTTGTCTGGCTTTTGTATACAGGTAATGCTGGCCTCATAAAATGATCTTAGAAATATCCCTCAATCTTTTTGCAGAAATTTGAGGAGGTCTGGTATTAATTCTTTAAATATTTGGTAGAATTTTTCAATGAAGCTACCTGTACCTGGAATTTTCTTTTCTGGTAAGCTTTTGATTACTTATTTAGGTGCCGTAGTATTGTTCTGTTCAGATTTTTATTTCATAATTGAGTCTTAATAGATTGTGTTTCTAGAAATTGATCCATTTCTTTCAGATCATCTAATTTGTGATATACAAGTGTTTGTAATATTCTCTTGCAGTCCTTTTTTATTTCACTGCCACTGGCTTAATTTCCCTTTTCACTTCTGATTTTAGTTATTTGGATCTTCTTTTTTCCTCACTCCAGCTAAGTGTTTGTTAATTTTGTTGATCTTTAAAGAAAAAGCCAACTTGTAGTTTTACTTTTTTCTATTGGTTTTCTGTTGTCCATTCCATTCATCTTTAATATTTCCTATTTCTTTCTGTTTGCTTTCAGTTTAGTTTGTTCCTTCTCTAGTTCCTTGAGGTAAATTTAAGTTGATTTGAGATCTTTCTTGTTTTTTTTTTTTTTTGTACCAGGAATCAAACTCAGGACTGTGCACTTGCCAGGCAGGCACTTATGCCACTGAGCTATATCCCTGGCCCCAATTTGAGATCTTTCTTCTTTCTTAGTGTATATATTTAGAGTATAAAAACAGTGTTAAACTTCCTTCTTAGTGTTGCTTTTGCTTTATGTGATAAAGTGTGATAAAGTGTTCTGTTTTTATTTGTCCCACAATTTGTTATAGTTTTACCATTGGTTGTTTAAAAACATAACAGTTTAGTTTACATACCTACTGTAGGTTTTCTTGTTTTCCTCCTGCTATGTTTCTTTCATTACATTGTGATAAGAAAAGTTACTTTATATAATTTTAATCTTCTAAAATTCTTTGAGACTTGTTTTATGACCTATCCTGGAGAGCATTCCATCTGCACTTGAAAAAAAAAAAAAAAAAAAATATATATATATATATATATGTATATATATATATATATAAATTTTGTTGTTCATTGGCATATTCTATATATGTTTATTAGGTTCAATTGATATAGTGTTGTTCATGTCTTCTACTTCTTTATTTATCTTCTTTCTTACTATCCTATTCATTTTTGAAGGTAGGATATTGAGTCTCCTGGTATTATTGTGTTACCAGTTTCCCCATCAGTTCTGTCAAACTTTGCTGCATATATTTAGAGGAGCTCTGGGGCTGGGGATGGCTTAGCGGCACAAGTGCCTGCCTGGCAAGCATAAGGTCCTGAGTTTGATTCCTGGTACAGGAAAGGAAAAGAAAGGGAAAGAGAAGGGGAAGAGGAAAGGGGAAGGGAAGGAGAAGGGGAAGGGAAAGGAAGGGAAGGGAAGGAGAGGGAAGAGAAGGAGAGAGAAGGGAAGGGAATGGAAGGGAACGGAAGGGAATGGAAGGAGCTCTGATGTTTTATGCATAAATATTTATAATGATTATATCTTCTGGTAAATTGACCCTTATACTCTTATATAATATTCTTCTTTGACTTTTTTATATTTATTTTTATCCATTCCCTTTTGATTGGAGAGTTTAATTCACTTACATTTAAAGTAATTGGAGACATGGAAAGATTTATTATAGCTGTTTTGTTCATTATTTTCTATAGTAATAAAGTGTTAATTTCTCCTTTATGAGTTGTTTGCTTGCTTGCTTGTTTTTGCAGTATTGGAACTTGAATCCCGGGTCTTTGCACTGAGCTGCATCCCAGTTTTTAAAATTTACTTATTTATTTATTTTATTTATTTTTAATTTTTGAGACAAAGTTTCACTACATTGCTTAGACTGAGCTCAAATTTGCAGTCCTCCTGTCTCAGCCTTCCAGAGTGCTGGGATTACAGGTGTGCACTACCACACCTGGCTAGCTTTGTGTTTCAAGGACAGTTTTGCCAGAAATGGTATTCTTGATAGGTTTAATTTTTATTTTTTCAGAACTTTGAATCTGTCACTCTAGTTCCTTCTAGCCCACAAGTTTTCTGCTGAGAAATCCACTGATAAACTTGTGGAAGCTCCTTTGTATGTAAGGGATCACTTTTCTCTTGCTGTCTTCTTTATTTTTAATTAAGTTTATTGGTACAGTTTAGATATACATGATGATCACATTCATCATAGGGAATTTGTATCTGTACATGATATATCTTAGTTCCTCTCCACCCCCCCATTCTCCTCCCCTCTTTTCAACCCCTCTTTCCCTCCTCATTTACAAATTTTTTTTACATTTTATCCTTTTTTCCCATTTTTCTCTTTTCCCTTCCACCCTCAGGCCAATTCCCCTTTCCCTTGAACAATTACTTCTTATTTCACAGTGTCTATTATACATGTTGGTTCTTATTTACACTTTCAGTTTAACATACCAGAGAGACAATGTAATATTTACATATGTGTGTCCGATTTATTTCACTTAAAGACTATGGTCTCAAGGTCCATCCATTTAGCTATAAATGTCTCAAGTTTGTCCTTTTTATGGCTGGGTAGTACTCCATTATATAAAAAGAGCCTCATCTTTTTATCCACTCGTCAGTTGATGTGTATTTGGGTTGTTTCCAAGATTTAGCTATTATAAACTGCTGCTATAAACATGGGTGTGTATATATCACTGTGGTATGATGCTTTCAATTCTTTTGAGAAGATACCCAGAAGGGGAATAACTAAGTCAGATGGAACCTCTAGTCCTACTTTTTTAAGAAATCTCCACACTGATTTCCACATGGTTGTACCGATACTGTTGCTTGCACCAACAGTGAAGAAGGGTTCCGTTTTCCCTACAGCCATGCCAGCATTTGTAATCCATTGATTTCTTGATGATAGCCATTCTTTCTGGAGTGAGATGGAATCTCAGCACTGTTTTAATTTGCATCTCTTGGATGATTGATGATGTTGAACATTTTTTCATGTGTTTATTTGCTACTTGTACTTCTGAGAAGTGTCTGTTCATTTTAGATGCCCATTTTTGGATTGGGTCTTTATATTTGGTAGGGTCTGATTTTTTTCAAATCTTTATGTGTTCTTGATATTAGTCCTTTGTCTGAAGAGCAACTGGCTAAGATTTTTTTTCCCACTCTGTGGGTTATCTTTTTACTCTGTTGGTGATTTCTTTTGCTGTGTAAAAACTTTCTAATAAGGTGAGATTCCAGTTATTGATTCTTTGTAGTATTTCCCATGCCATCAGGGTTGTGTTCATGAAGTCTTTGCCTACATCTGTGTCTTCAAGAGTTCTACCTATTCTCTCTTCCAGAAGATTTAGTGGTTCTGCTTCAATATTTAGATCTTTGATCCATTTTGACTTTAGTTTAGTGTATGGACGTATAGATGGGGCTAGTTGTAGTTTTTCATATGTGGAAAGCTAGATTTTCCAGCACCATTTTTAAAGAGGCTATCTTTCTTCCAGTAAATGTGTTTGACCCCTTTGTCAAAGATAAGATGGCTGAGTGTGTTTGGAGTTGTTTCTGCTTCTTCTAATCTGTTCCATTGAGCCTCAGGTCTGTTTTTTTGCCAGTACCTTGCTGACTTTATGATAGTGGCTTTGCAAGTCAGATATTGTGATGCCCCCTGCCTTTCCTTTGTTGCCCAGAATTGTTTTTGCCATTCCAGATCTCTTCTGTTTCCAAATAAATTTTTGGAATGTTTTCTTTAATGCTTTGAGGTATACTAATTGTATTTTTATTGGGATTGCATTAAATCTGTGTAACAATTTTGGGAGTATGGCCATTTTTACTATATTGGTTCTTCCCAATATACCCAAGAGCAAGGGATATCTTTCCATTTTCTGATATCCTCTTCAATCTTCCTGTAGTTTTCAATGTAGAAATCTTTTACTTCATTAGATTGATTCCTAAGTACTTCATTTCTTCTCATGCTGTTGTGAAAGTTGTGCTTTCCCTAATTTGTCTCTCAGTGAGT